ATTTTACTACACTTCAGTATGTGATTCTTATTAAGTAGGGGTAATTTTTTAGGATTCTATACTTAACCTAAGTCTCTGAGAACCTGACACCTGGTACTTCTGGAGACTCCAGGTAGGTTGCAGTTCTGGAAAATGGTGGCGCTGGAGACTAAATGGTTCCTGGTGATTTCATACCTAATTCTTCACCTTAATTCCTAATTCTTTTGCAGTTAACATGCATCTTTTCTTCTCTACATGTTTCTGACTGACCCTGCTGACCCACTGAGCATTTTGCTGTCCAATGGTTATGCATTCACTTTGCAATTTCTAGTATTGTATTAGTTTTGAATATTTCTCATGGGCATTTAATAATTTTTTAACTTTCAGTCTGAGTTAAATCTCTTTTTTGGCTCATTTTATCTGTAAAAAAAAATCTGCTTAATTATGCACGCCTGAATATAAGACATTTTTCACTTCAGCCTTCATGAATAATTATATATCAATTATAAATTATTAAATACAAGATTAATAGTAGTTATTAAGATCTCGTGATTAAGATTGTCGTTTGGAATTGGTCAAATGTGCTTGGAAAAAAATATGATCAGAATATCAACTTGCATAATAATTATGCATGTACTGCATTTTCCCTCTTCTGCTGTCGAGGTAAAGCAAGAAATGTTGTGATTGGTTGTCAAGGCAGCCAATCAGAATTTAGCAGCCTCGGTCTCTGATTGGCTGGAATTATGGCACATTGTAACGCTGGGTAGTGTTGAGCACGCGAGCTGTTGGCATTTAGCGAGCACTGAGGGCGGGCATCAGGTGAGCAAGCTAGTGAAACGTTGCACGCGCAAAAGAGGTCTGCACACATCCAAAACGTATTTTAAATGCAAAATTGTTTTCTGTGCGCTCAAAATACTTTCTTCTTTGCGAGACAAACATTTTCTCCACAAAACTCAGTTTGCACGTGTGCAAAACTCACTTTTGCGCACTCAAAATATGATCTTTTGCATGCAGAATTGTGGCAGAATTGTAATCCCATATTCAGGCAGCTCCTGAGGTGAAGCTGTTTTCTTTGGAGTGGAGAACTGTAGTTTCAGACCGAGCTGTTAGCGGTGCACTCTATGACTAAAGATCATAAAAAATAGTCACACCGGGCACCACATCAAGGCTCTTTTGGTCTCTGCCTCTCGCTGACTTGTCGAATCACTTTAAATAAGATTGAATTTACATGTGTGTTTACGTCTGTGTTGGAATAAATGTTGAACCATGAGGCCAATTAATTTCTGTGACCACTTTTGAAGCTTTACGTTTGTTAGCATAGACTGTAAAAAAGTCTGTAGTTTCTGTTACCTGTAGGTGACGATAAGCGACAATCTTTATGAGTGAATCAGAGATTCATTTATTCAACCGATTCACTGATTCATTCTCTTTTGATGAAGAAAAAGTACAAGTTTCTGAGTGTGTAGTAGAAGAGTAATCTGTAAACTGGCCTGTCAATCTTGTCACAGTTAACATCCTCCACATTTACTTTAATTGAACTTCCTACCGCATCAGAGAGAAAAGAAGTAGCAGGTTGATCTGCCAGCAATGGGTCTTTATGTGGAGAACTCTGCTCATATTTTCTGCATAATGATGCATTTAAAAGTTAACGACCAAACGGATGTTTATAAACGTTCACATTTTTGTTGCAGATAAAATTTAACACAGATAGCATTAAATAAATATTTTTTTATCAAGTTAAATGTTGATTATTAGTAACATAAACCCCATTATCTAAACCTCCGTCGGTCACGCACATCTGCCATGTTTGTAGTTCTTAACCTAATTCTTCACTAAAGTGCAACGAATTGTGGGCAATATTAACCATTAGAGTGTGTATGGATCCACACTTCAAAAATCTACCTGAAATAGTAGACCATCCGGGGACTTTTTGGCATACTCTTTTCAACATACTATGCTTTGGGACACACTTATTCTAATCTTACATACTATTAGGATGGATAGTATGAATATTCAGACGCAGGGTAAGTCTGTGCAGAACCAAAACGGGGTGCTTCCCATTTATTGGGCATTTTCAAACTGGGATAAGGTGTTTTTTTAACTATCCAATCAGTTAAAGTATGAAAAAGTATGGAAGCCCTAAAATGCCATTCGTTATTATTTCTTTTATTTTTCTTTCTTGTTTTTCTCATGATCTCAACTGTTTTGTTGTGCCTAGACCACGATAAAACAATTAGTTATCTCAAGATCATGAGAAATCAAGAAATAAAAAAATAATGCTTCATGCTTTTTAGGATGAAGCATTTTGACAGAAGATAATTCTTGTAGCCCAGTCCAACCTCAAATCAGTTACTATTCCAGTATACAATTTCCGGTGGCGCCATTTTTAAATCACAGACCTGTCAAAACAAAATGACTAGCACGTACTTTTTAAGTCTAACTAAAACAGAACAGTTAAGATATTTACAAAAACTAAAAATAGACGATAACGTGGAATTACCGGACCCCTTAATTCAGACATTGAGGCGACAACTTTTCACTCAGAACGTTAAACGTTTACCTGAAGGAACCTGAGACCGAGTGCGTCTACACGAGAGAAGCGGTAAAGGCATATAGTCTGGATGCCTACAATTACTTCCTTATCGGAAAAGCACGTATTACTGATATTTAAGTAACCTTGTAACAATGCGTGGAATGAGGACTCAGAAAACCTTAAACAATGGGATCTCTATAGAGCCCCAAAATATATATATACTATATAGTATTAGGCTATATCCTGAAATATACCCATTTCAGGAGTACAGAAATTATGATTTAAAATCAGTAAAAGCTAGAAACGCATCTTATTTACAGGTAAAGCTTCATTATATGAAACTTCTTTCTGTGTTCTAGACATTCTCGCACTCTGAGTGGAAGTAATGTTAGAATGCTTGGAGCGTTTATAGATAAATAGCAAATTAACACAAATTAATCAAAAACAATAAACAACTGGTAGTTTACCACAATCCGCTTACATTCATATACATGCGATCTCTCAGTGTCTTTCTGGGAATCGCCCGCGAATCAGGTAAAGAAGCTGAAAAACACCTATCCCGGTTTGAAAACGCCCGAAATTGGGAAACACATTTTTTGGTTCTGCGGAGACCGCATTCTCACTGCATATGAAAGCGAATATTTTCCTACTAAATAGCAGGCGAAAAACAGTCAGTGAAAAGAGTATTAATCTTCTGGACACAAGAGGGTCGCCGTGATTTTGCCAAGAAAGACATGTTCCTGGATCAACATTTTTGGTGATCCTGGATCAACATTACTGTCCAAAAATATAGACCTAACCCAATCCCGTCCACTAAACCTAACCCTACCCATTATTTATTCCTAAAATCAGAGGGAACTGATAGGTGAATAACAAGGGTGTTGAAGCATCTAACCCTGATTGTAAGCCTAAAACTGACATTTCTTTAAAACTTATCCCTCAATTCCGATTGGTTGACTGGAATGTTGTTCCAGGATCAACAAGGATGTTGATCCAGGAACATGCTGTACTTGGTCAAATCACGTTCACCGCCTATAATATGTCTGGCTTATCTTCATACTACACACATTCATACTACTATATTCATACTTAACAGAAGGTTTTTTTTAACAGTCATAAAGTAAAGATCAAAAGAAGTACCTACTCAGAGAATATTCGATAACGGATGCATTCATTCACTCAGTTGAATTGTTTAAAAAAAGCTGATTCTTTAAGAACTTTTACTTTGCTTTCATAAATATTTTCTTTGGCGAGCAAAAATAGACCTTCTAAAATATAAGTATAACTCAGTATTGAGCTCTTGTTTATTCAACTGTAATATAAACGTCCATAGGCCTACTGTATAAGGTGTGTATATTCAGTAATGTAAGGTGTTTTTGCGTAATTTAAACTAGGATGTATTTTGGGATAATTACATATTTTCATCCCTTGAATCAATTTAAGAACAAAATTATACAGGTTTGTCATCACTTTGCTGTCCAAAAGCTAACGTTTCATGGAAATAGTGAAACTGAACAGGTACTTCTGGTTAGTGTCTGTTATGAAATTTGACTCCCATTCTTCAGTGGGCTCCTGGCGAGGTACACGTGAAGCTTTCAACAAGTGTTATTGCACTCGTTCACCCCCTTTGTATGTTTAAAGAAAACGGACCTTGTGCTGGCTTGTGCTATTTTGAACCATTAAAATGAAATAAAACTTGACTTCCTTTCCAGAGCTGAAATTATACTTTTCCAAAAGCGGCTCCAGCAATCTTGTATCTGGGGTAATGGACTGAGGGATGATTAGAGTCAGGTATGTTACACTCCTCAGCCAAGTTGAACCGAAAACAAACCTCAAAGTGTTCAACTCGCTCTTTCTTCCATTTCTCCTGTTCTATGCAGCTCGCGCTCACAGAATTAAAACAGTCATTTAAAATGTTTGGTGATCCAAAGTTTGTTCTGCATAGAAATGAGTCATTCTTTTCCTGCATAACCGATATCGAGCGCCGATTACAATGACAAAATCTATTATCTAAGATTTAGCATGAAAAATACAGCTAATGTAAGTAGAGTACAATGATGTGTGTTCACTGAGTTTGTTTCTTCAGTCATGTTTGACTCTAGGTCAACCTTACATTTAGTTAAATCCAGTAGATTTATTTTAAAAGGTTTGCTATTTGAAATGGAATGCATGTGCTAATTAACTAATTAGCGACAAATCTTTCACCAAAATATCAATACCCAAAATGTTTCTTGCCACAAGACTCTTTTAACGCATCATTATAATAAGAAACAAGATATCATGACATGTGCAGCAACATCTTTCCTCTCTCTGGCTCTCTGTAATAGTGATGGTGAAAGAGCATAGCTGAGCTAAAATTAGATCATCCTCAGGCACGAGGCCTGTCTTCGCCCGGGGCCACATTGAGGGATGTGAACAGCGAATAAACATCCAACACACACAAAGCAATGATATCACACTTCCAAAAGACACACACGACTGATAATCAAGATCATTCTACAGAAACATTCAAGACTGCCAAGGAACTTGAGCAGACTGTGCGTCTAACTGGTTTGAAAAGAAAAACACAGTCACCTCATTTCTGAGTTGTAGCATAGCTTTGTTTATTTTTTTTTTTACATTTCATTTTCTTTATTTTTTTGCATAGGGAAACATACTTCCAGTACTGTATTCATGAGCGTTTTTTTTTTTTTGCGAACAGCGATGGCTGAATACAATGTTATAATGAAATATTGTTAAAGCTGTAATTTCCCCCTCACACCAGTTCAAAAACACATGGCAAATTTAGTTTGTTGTGCATTAGAAAAACACATTTTTCCCCATCCGTTTCAAAACCGACATACCGACTTTTGCTGATAGATTACATTTTAGAGAGGTTCTTAAGAGAAACAGACAAATAACGAAAATCAGATGCTTTCCAAAAGAACATGGATGCATGTCATCATGCCAGTTGTGAATATGTTTGAACTAAATGTCCACATGCCCCTTCCTGGTGTGAAGTGTGTTTATCTGTGCAGCAAGCAAGCGTTTAATGAGTAACTACTATGGTAATATTTGTAAAGAATAATGTGATTAAAAAAAGAGGAAGGAAAAACCAACAAAAACCTTGAAATTTAACACTGCATTAGAATGCTCTCTGAAAAACATTTCAACCTTCGTCCTTTCAACTCAAAGCATCCAAACATAGAAAAAACAGCATGCTTAAAAACAAACAAAACAACAAAGATAGCAATATTCATAGAAATTAAACCTTAATTCAGAATAAAAACAAACCGAATAAAACAAAACAATTGTTCTAATGGGAGAGAGGGCACCCTGAAACATTGATGCGTGACTGTTTTGGGGGTCTCTAACGTTCGGGAGTAGGCGGTATGTCAGGGTGTTTTTGGCAATTCATTTGTGAAAGACGTATCAAAATATTGCATAAATGGCAAAGCCCACGAATGGCTTTTCTCCCCTTTGAACGAATACGCTTTCTTCACCCCTTTTGAGCCATTTTAACCTTAGGGCCAGATTTTAAAAAGCCCTTAGCACATACTAGCATTCTTAGCATCGCCAGACTGTACTGACCTC